TCGGAGGAGCTGAGCCAGGTGCCGGACGAAGAACTGCTGCGCTGGAGCAAGGAGGAGCTGGCGCGGCGGCTGCGGCGCGCCGAGGGCGAGAAGGTGGGCCTCATGCTGGAGCACGGCGGCCTGATGCGCGACGTGAACCGGCGGCTGCAGCAGCATCTGCTGGAGATCCGCGGCCTCAAGGACGTGAACCAGCGGCTGCAGGACGACAATCAGGAGCTGCGCGAGCTCTGCTGTTTCCTGGACGACGACCGGCAGAAGGGGCGCAAGCTGGCGCGCGAGTGGCAGCGCTTTGGGCGCCACGCGGCCGGCGCTGTGTGGCACGAGGTGGCCCGCTCGCAGCAGAAGCTGCGAGAGCTCGAGGCGCGCCAGGAGGCCCTGCTTCGCGAGAACCTGGAGCTGAAGGAGCTGGTGCTGTTGCTGGACGAGGAGCGCGCGGCGCTGGCGGCGGCTGGGGGCGCTGGCGGCAGCGGCGGCGGCGCGGGCTCCCGCAGCTCCATAGACAGCCAGGCTAGCCTGAGCGGGCCGCTGGCGGGCAGCGCGGCGGGCTCGGGGGCCCGCGATGTTGGCGACGGCAGCAGTACGTCCAGTGCGGGCAGCGGCGGCAGCCCCGACCACCACCACCACGTCCCACCCGCGCTGCTGCCCCCCGGGCCGCACAAGGGTCCAGACGGCAAGGCCGGAGTCACGCGCCGGTCCCTGGATGACCTGTCGGCGCCGCCGCACCACCGAAGCATCCCTAACGGCCTGCACGGTAAGCACCGCGCCCGAATCGGAAGCCTAGGGGGGTGTTGTGAAATGGTAGTTCCTGAACACCTCACGGGTTCGGGGTGGTGGGGGTCGCACCTCCAGACGCCTCTGCGGCTGGCATAGCAAATGGAGCATCCGGCGTGGTGGTGTGTCCCTGTCCAGCTGATACGGTAGAAAAGTTTCTCGCCCACAGTTTTTTTTGTGTTAGTGTCTGGCATTCTGGTGTTGTCTAGGGGGTGTCTCCCATCCCACCCTGAAAACACTTGTGGGCAGAGGGAAGTTTTTCTTGGAAGACTACGAAAGGGCCCTGAGTGAATTTCCCCTTCTTGTTGGAGCCGTAGATGTTCCCCACACGCAGCCGGCGCCCACTACTGCACTGTAGTTTTGTGCTTCCTTCCAGTCCAGTTTCCTCCCCTTCCTTGCAGCCCTGTCTCCTCCTGGGCTGGGCTGGTCCACTGGCACTGGTGTTGAGACCTTGAGGCAGCTGGACCAGAGAGCCCTGGGCTAAGATGAGAGGCTTCCGGGCTTCCCCTAAATTCTGCGCTACTGGTTGAGACACACACCGTTCTCGACTTGGTCTCTACAGTATTCCCCAGAGGATATGGTTGGAATGGATTCTGACTTCTCAGTGAGCCTCAGTTTCCTTTCTTCCTTGCTTAGGAGTCGGAGAGGCTGATCCCTGCCTCACCAGGGTGGGTGTGAGGTGGAGAGAGATAATGCCCCTGAAGAGATTTGGAAGCTTGATCGTCTTACAGGAAGTGCTGGGGTCATCTGTGGCTAGAGTGTGGGTGGGAGGTCAGCTCTGCCTGCGCCGAGGGTGTCCCTGCCATAGCCCCTTCAGTGGCTCTCTGCCCCGAAGCTGAGGAGCGCCGTACTTCCCTGCTTCCCCACAGCGTTCACAAGCCCGGTTCCCAGTGTTGGTGGCACCTGCTTCTGCCTGAACTGTTTGCCTGGTGGCAGAGAATAACCGGCCCTTTCTGTTCTCCTTTCTCTATCCAGACACTATCAAGGCTTAGAACTCTTCCCCAAATTGACAGCTAGAGCTGAGGGCCAAGCTTTTTCTTTGGTTTCCTGGCCAAGCCCTCTGCCAGCATATTGGGGTGGGGACAGGTAGGAGCTGCAGTCCTGGTGCAGGACTGGGGGAGGCTTCCTCCTTATTTCCTGTCCAGAGTTTGTGAGTTCAGGAAAGGATTGAGGCTAGAGGGATACTTTGTTGCTGATTAGCAATCTACCATTGCAACTCAGGTTTCTTTTTGTAACACTGCATCCACAGGTCCTCCCCCTACAGCTACTCAGTCAAGCTCCATCTGCAGAGTTCCAGCATAATTTGTTGGGGATGCGCACCCCTCTTTACAATGCTTGCATCTCTTTGGCTTCCCATTTCTGGGGGCTCTGGGTGGGTCAGTGTTCTGGGTCTTGATTTCCCCAACTGCATCATAAAGGGAGTCTTTGCAGTTAGGGAACAATCCAGTGTTGCTGGTTTCCGGCCATGCGGTCAGTAGCACTTGGCCAGAGTGATTCTCCGCAGGATACTGCCTTGCTTGAGTGTCTCCACCTCTTTGCAGATGGTCATGTTTTGTGCAAGGAGATGTGGATCTGGCCCAGAGTTCCAGTTGCAGTAGTGAATAATGCAGCAAGTGAAGGACCTGGCCAGGCTGGAGGTTTTCCACCCCACTGGGGATGGGTAGGGGTTGAAGTGTCCTGTTTCCTACAGACCCCATTCCTCCACCCCCACCCCCAAGTCTCCTTGCAACAAAACTACTGCAGATTTTTGTAGTAGCCACGCTTTGCTTTGGCGCAGAAATGAAAACTCAGCATTGTTGTTACAAATTTCAGTTACACACCGGATTGTTCTTTTTAAGTTTTGTCTCTTGAAGTCAGTGGGTGGCCGTGAGATATCCTCCTTTCTAATGTGTACAGAATTCCAGGAAACGAGGAAAACCGGGCTTCTCTGCACTGGGACCTGCAGCCTCACATTGGCTTTGAAGAGCAGGGCTGAGCTGAGATAAAGAGAGTTCAGGTGGTGGCCAAAGCAGAGTCACACTGGGCTTAGTGCCTGGTCTTGACCTGCAGTCCCAGGAGCCCTGGGCAGCTTGCATTAGCCCTGTTTTACAGCTGTGCCAGGGGAGGCACAGAGAGGACCCCGGCCTTGTCTTGCTGGGATCTCTACCAGGGCCATCAGTGTTTCTGCCAAGAATGACTTGAGGCCCTTGTGGTTGTCATTTTTGCTTTCCTGTTAGTTAGTAACCGAGATGCCTCCTGTTCTTGATTCCTGGCCTGGCTGCGCCTCTTCGACTCTCCCATTCGGGGAAGCGTTACTTCCTTATCAGTGGCCACAGAGTGGCTCATTGATAACCCAATTATGCACAGGGTCTGGACATCTTGACTCCCTCATGTGTCTCGGGCAACTTGGTTGATTTTGCCTCTTTGTCCTTCTGGAAGGTGGAAGGCCGCCCCCAGAGCCCTTTACTCCAGCAAGGTCAGTGAGGTTGGCACCTGCCCACAGTGGTCCCAGCAGTGGTTGGAGGAGTCGCCTGTGGGAGGCTTGCCAGCACAGTTTGCCTTCTCTTCGGAACTCTGCTTGCCTTTGAGGCTGCTTGTGGGCTTATTCGCGTCTGAGCTCCGTGTATGGCGTGTGGCGTGTGGCTGCACCTGCTGCTGCTGAGGCAGGGAAATGGGGCCTTGCAGGTCCTCTCTGAGGACCAGTGCTACTGTGCCCACAGCCTGTACGTAGCAGTGGTGGAGGTGGCCTGGTATTGGAGGCAGTCCTGACTGAGGTGGGCTTGGCCAGCCTCTGAATGCATTATGCAAATAGGTCTCTTGGACAGGCACTGGGCCTGTGCTGGGATGCTTTTGAGAGGCACTGGGTCCTTGCTGGCTAAAGTCAGGTATAGGGTGCCCTTGCTGGCTTTCTAATGCAGCCCTGTAGGCTGAGACAATTTAGACGTCAGAAATTCAGCCCCCCTTTTTTTCCCCATGTGAGGTGATTTTCAGACAAAAACATTTTCCCTCTGGGGGCGGGGTAGCTCAGGGTAGAGTATTCACTCAACACAGTATGGGACTCCATTGACAGCAACACACACACACACACACACACACACACACACACACACACACACGGCAGAAAAGAGAGCCTTTTCAGTCTGTTTTTCTTTTTCCTCCTGCCCCCTCCCATCTTTCTAGCTCCACCGCCCATCCCTTGCCCTTGATGTGCCCCTCTCTCCTCTCCCTGCCCCCACCCCATGCCCTGCTCCCCTGTGGCTAACTCAGAACCTCCAGCAAGCCTGCGAGTGAGTGAGTGCCATTTATCTTCCTGGGTTTGGGTTAAAATTTTGAGCCACTCAGAATGAGCAGGGTTTGATCTCCCGTTTGTGTTTTTGTTGGTTTTGGGAGGGTGGAGTAGGGGGTGGTCTGGGCCTTTAAAAAAAAGACAGAGCAAGCTGGTAGTGAATAGGTCTTGTTTTTCTTCAGGAGGCCTCAGGCCTCTACTAATAAGGCTGCCTTTCCTAAGCCTGCCAGCCTGGAGCAAAGGTCAGAGGAGATAATGGGCGGGTTATGCAAGCCTTCCCTTTTCTTCCCTCTGGTGGAGGGATTTGTGAGATTGTCCACAGCCTTGGGTGCTAGGTCCTCAGGGCACCAGGCATTCACGGGCAGGTGACCCACGAAGAACTTGGTAGTTGTTGAGGGCTACCATGTGCTTCCAGGAGGCTTCTTTGGCAAACTGAGGCTTGAAGAGGTGTTGGACATTGCTTTGGTTCCCTCCCTCATGGTGGCTGGGGTCTGGAGTGAGTCTCAGGTCTTCTGTGTTCGCTGGCCCAGCTCATATGTGAGCTCCGTGGGGGAGGGCACTCGAAAGGAAAGAGTCAGTTCTTCCCGGGGAGCTTTCTGCTCCCTCCTCGGCAGGGACACGGGTCCCTCCACGTACCTCCCTCTTACATTGTCACTTTTCTACATCAGTCGGCTTTCCCATCACAGTGGTCATCCTGCCACAACTATGTCCCATGTTAGGTCTCTGAGCTCCTGGGACACAAACTTTGTGGAATATTGGTCCATGACCAGAATATTTTATGAGGAAACCAGCTTCTACACATACCTGTTTTCCTTCCCTCCCTCCCTCCCTCCCTCCCTTTTCCTAAGACAGAGTTTCTCTAGCTCTGGCTGTCCTGGAACTCACTCTGTAGACCAGGCTGGCCTCAAACTCAAGAGATTCACTTGCCTCTGCCTCCCAAGAGCTGGGATTAAAGGCATGTGCCTCTGCCCAGGCTCACACACCTGTTTTCTGCATACACCACCACGCCTGTGGCTGCAATCATTTTTACGGTTCCTCGAAACTCAGGTAAGTTCCTGAACCACTCATCTGCAAAAGGGAAACATGACGGACCTTTGGGAGGAGGGAGGGTGTCTCTGTATGACAGCCTGAATGTACCCTTTCTGAGATGGAACACCCAGTGCCAAGCCTAAGGCCTAGCTGTGCGGCCTGCTGCCTAGGGCTCCAGCTTCAGGGTCAAGAGAGCCTGAGTGCGCTCTGTCCTATCTGATCGGAGACCTTGGCAGCTTGCTGACCGTCCAGGTCTCAGTTTCTTCATTTGTAATATCCTGCTCCCATAACTGAGCCTTTAAAGGAGGAGTCTGTGGCTTCTGTTCTCGTTTGGATCCCTTTCTCATGCGGGGTGTGGGTACGGAACCCCCTAACCCGTGCTTGTGAGTGGAGCCTTTGTGCCTAGTCCCGTCTCAGAGGCAGGGAGCTCTTGTCCAGTTGAACAGAAGAAAAATGGCTTTGTAGTTAAGAAGGAGCAGAATGGCTAAGTTCTGAAGGTGGGGACTGGAGCATCATGGGAAAATAACCTCAGAGGGGCTGAGGTTGGTGCTATGTGCCGCCCTAAAATTCCAGCGGCTCCAGAGTTCAGTGCCTGCAAAGGACGATGGTCCGAATGAATCCCGCGGTCTCTAGAGCCAGGAGCTGTCCCGTCAGGGGAGGTGTGTGATCGCCTGCCTGGACACTAG